CTTCGTCTAGAGATTGTTTTGCTTCCATTTATCAAAGGAGTGGAAACTGTTGTATTTAAATTTGCGCATTTCTCTGGAGTTTGTTTTTTAATATGTCTAAATTAATATATAAAATTACTTAAAAATTTTACTGTGTGATAATCGAATGAAACGTTTTCCTTTGAATTTGTATTAATTTTAATTCTCATTTTTCTCTTCAGAATAAAATTTCACGGAATCTGAATTTTCTGTAAAGGAAGTGAAATGGAAGGATAAGAACCTGTTGAAATTTTTAAGGAGTAACATTTGAGGAAAATAATAATAATAATAATAATAATAATTGGAATTAGGTTTTGTTATTATCATGTACAGTTTTAACTTTGATTATGTATACGTAGGTTAAGCAACTGAAGAATATTTAATGCTTGGAACATTTTACCTTCCCCCACCTCGTTTTTTTAATTTAAACGCAAGTAGGGATTTTATATTATTGGTATGTTTAGTTTGGTGCTGCTTCCCCCTTTCCTATGCTTTAAAAAGTTTTTAGCTTTTTAGAGTTAGTGTTCCTTAACATGTTTCTTCATAAATCATTCTTCGCATTAGAGGTATCGATAGATTTTAAGAGTACTTGTATTCAGTCAGTCTGGAGGTCAAACAAGACGTTTCAACATTATGCTCCGAAATTACTCACCAGTTAAAGCCACAGACTTAGTGAGCGAGTAGAGCAAGTCGTTGCAAATTGCGTAATTAAGGCCAGAGACTACTTGTTTTTTTAAATTGATGTTCAGTTTAAAATGTGTATCCGTTAGATCATTGAGTATGGGGAAGCAACGAGAAGTTGTTCCGTATCATTTTCTTGGAAACGTATCGAATATCTGATTTTAATTGAAATTGCTTAGCCAGTAAATAACCCGCACTATGTGAAATGAACTTCTTATTGTGTTCTACGTATAAAGCGAAGTGGCGCTGCATGCATATTCGGCTTCAATCAAGTGCGTGTGGGGGGGATGTTCTCGACTTTCAAATTGCGATGGTTTTGAAAAGTTCAGGAAAATGCCATGTTTGTTGGAAGATCAAAGAATTTTAGCAACTGAATGCATTTAGGATTATTATTATTCTTGACCATTCGAAAGTAATTTACCGCCAAATGTTGAAGTACAAAAGCATCTTCAGTAATTCGGATAACAGCAATTTTGAATGACATCTTTTTCGGACAAATTTATATGAAAAATATGCCCAGGGGGAAACCTGCTTTCATAGTTAGAAAGAAGGGAGGAGGATAAATAGTCACTTTTCTTTATACATTTACAACATTTTGCTTAAATGTATCTGAAGATAAACATAAAATTTTCTGTCTTAAATTTACTCTTTTTATTTAAACTACATAAAGGAAATTCTTTGCATTTGTATTTGGGGGGGGGGAAGCTGGACTTTTATGGCTGACTCAGGTAAACATTATTTCGCCATCTTGGACATTAACATTTCTTTCTTTGGATTTAAACATTTCTTTCTCCGCTTTGGATGGCAGGAAAGCAGTATTACTAATATAACGATTTATTGAAATCCTTGGTCTATGAAGAATTTTTTCACTTTGTGGGAAATCTTTTAGGGCAGCTCATATTTTAATTGGCATAATACACCAATGAACGTAGGTATTTTAAGGTAATCACCAAGACAACTCTTTATTTTTACATGTAAGTAAATAGCACGCGATATCTTGCTTAAATAATAAAATGCATATATTTGATTTGCGAAAAAGGGGAAATTGTTGCAAAAGTGGAAAATACTGGTTTAGTTTTGATTTCAATCAGTCAACTTTTCGGTTATGGAGGTGGTTACTGTAGATTTAATTGGGAGTGTAAAAATGCAAATCCTATTTTTGAGACTGAAACACGAACACTTCATCTGTGATAAAGCATAGCTTTAGCTGAAAAGTGATGTTTCATGCTTATGAAAAGTTTCGCGTTTCTCTCGCCGTAAGCCAGAACGTTTTTAATTATTATTTAAGTGTTGTAATTACATGTTGTATAACTTTTGTTAAAGAAGTGTATAAAATTCCGCATCAAAAGAACATGTTAATAAAATAATTAAATATTAAAAAATGGTTCATTATGGATAGTTATTTTGAAACAAATTGTTACTTGAATCGTATGTAGGAGGTGGCTTGTGAAAACTATGTCAGTCTTATCTCAAAGGATAGCAATAGGCAGTAATCTATTTTGTTGATTTGAGAATTGCTTTGGCCGCCCTATTTTGATAAGACTGGATTCATCTTCAGAGTATTTTTCGGTTACTGTGCGCATTTCTGTGTAACTAATTATAACTAATTGGTCTGCAATTATGGGCATAAGGTAAGCTTATTTTCATTGCAGTCAGATTTTATTGCAGATTTTACCGATTGGCTATTTTTTGAGACATATTGCAATTATTGGCTTAAATGAATGCATTTTTTTAAACGTTTTTGTTCAGATAATTTACGGCCACTAGCGGTAGAGCTCCAAAGTCCACTAAGTAATCCCAGGCTCGGTTCCGGGCTTGCTACGTGGGTGGGTATTTTTTGTTTTTTTTTCTCATTAGTGTACTTGAACCAATTTCAATCATTAATTTCAAGAGCTGTGGATTCCACAGTGCTGTTTTCTCTTAATTAACTAACCAAGCATTTTTCCAACTTGTTTGGTGTTCACGTAATTTCCTTGCAGCCTCTTTAAAATGTTAGACTTGCGTAAATCGAAATATTTATTTCTTGATAACAGATTTTTTACGGAAACCCTGGACTTCGCTGCCGACTAGAGAACAGTGCAAAACTTGTAATCTTACCTCAGCACAATAACTGGTAGAAAAGTGCAAGGATTAATGTGATATTTAATTCAGATGAAATCAGCCATTCATAATACGAGCCAGTTAACCTTAGAAAGCTCTCCATAAACGCATCATTTCCTTTAATCGGAGAGCCTTCCCATACTTTACTAACTCGTTGACTTCTTGTAAATGATGGACATATTTGGCCAAACGATCAACCATCAGACACTCGAGAGTAGACTTAATGATCTTCATAGTGTAGTCATTAGGTTATTCTGAAGCAGGAGACGTGAAAAATGAGCAGTGCCATCGCAGGGACTCGAACCTTGCACTTGTCAAATGCGCATCGAGTATGCTTCCAAATTCACCACGAAAGCATGCGGAAAGGAGGGAGACAATACCTTATAATTGTACATACATTCCTGCTGTGTGGGATTTCGCTACAGGGCAAGATTAAATGTATGTACTAGGGTAGGGGTTCCCAGCGGGGTTAGTATTGATTCCCTGGGTGGGGTCAATGATATCTTAAAGGGGATTAGTGGTAATCGAGGATTCGACTGGGACTTGAGAGCCGAATATGTACCGGCCAGATTATCGCTATATAATCACGACCCCTATGATTTTAAGTAAAAAAGAATTAATTGTTTAGTGATAGAAAGCTGTATTATGCAGTAAGGAAGAAGTCTCAGAATAAATGTAAGGATGGAAAATACACTACAATGGTTTAATATCTTTCAAAACTCGGTAATATTTTTCAAATATATTAATATTTGAAATATTTAATTGCATAATTTTATGCATTAAAGGAATTTAAAATAGTCAAACGCGAGAACACACACACAGACAGACGCGAAAAACGCAAAACTACAATGAAAAACAAGAAACTGGTTGAATATTTTTGAACGAGGTAATATAAGAGTTATATTAAGCAGATTTGTGCCAAATATTTAAAAAAAATAATCCATTGCATCAAGTGCAGACCTCATATTCATTAAAATCGAACTTTAGTGCAATTAAAATTTCATTTTGTTTCTGAAAACTGGTTTATATTTGTAAAATAAAAAAATTCAAATATAATTAAACCATTTTCTCAAAGCTTCTTAATCTAATTTTTGTCATTAAGTAATTTGTGTGCAATAATTTATGATGTGTACTTTATATTCTAAAGAAAAATGTAAGGATGGAAAAAAATTCCTTTAATTAGGGGTGGGCCCACCAGCAGCCGAGCGGTAAAGTCGCTGAATACTGGTAGTTCGGTCCGAGGTTCGAATCCCCCAACCAGTTTCCTTTAGAAAAACCTCCACGAAGGCATCTCTCTCCTTAAGCAGATAGCCCTCGAGCGCTTTGACGTAATCGAATAAACCAAATCAGTTAATAGAGGTCTATACAAAGAAAAAAATTGGGAAAACCTGTAATAGACCTGAATGTACGGATAAGTTTTAACATACACTTTTTTGCCTCTACAAACCACAATGAGTGTTTCATAACGTATGTGGTAGACACTCAAAGCGATCTAACCATTAGACGCAGGCGTAACGTATCGCTGATTATTTAAGAATTGGTTCCTTCCGAGTCTCGCTCAGAAAATTGTTTTAAAAATGCAGGACCGAATATCCTATATTTTTAGAGACATCGCTTTAGAATAAATAATCTTTGTAAGAAGCGTTTTCTGTCTTCTTTTTCAAATTTTTCACGTTGTAAATAATCAGCAACGAATGTTCTATAAATGATACTGTTATATTGATTTTATTCCTTAAAATAGTTCCCTTTACTGACTGAACGTTATAATTTTATTCGTTGAATTTAAGGCATTAAACAATGGCTTTTAAAAATATTTGGTAGCATGTAATATCTGGCTTTCGAAATTAATTCCTCTGAGTCTGATGTAGCAAACTGGAAACGAACTATGTCATATTTTAACTTTATTTAAATTGATTTTATTCTTTCGTGGAAAATTAAAATGATTAGGAAATTAAACTTGATTCATTTGTAAATTTTATTTTAAACTAGAAAATTGTTTCCCTCCAGTGCTATTGAAGTAAGTGATTGTTTCATCTATCTTATGTGTGGGTGTGTTATGCAACAAATTGTGAAACGGAAGTATGAAGCGCAAGTGTGGAGTTGAATTAGCAATAGGATTATTCGAATTGTTGGTTTCAGTGGAGCAGGGAAAAGTAAACGAGTGAAATCAGATTTCGTCCTTGTTTGAACGACGGAAGAACCTGTTGGTGCTCGAACGCTATTCGTTGCTTGGAGGTGTTGACTACTTACCTCGCTATTTAAAAGGTGTGTTGTGCATTTTAAGCGTGCACCTCGTTTTATGAAAGTGTGTGCCGGCAGTTCTCTACTTTAATTATGAAATATCCAGAGAGTGTCGAGTGAGTGTTTTTAATTTCCTAAATTTTTCAGTGTAATACTTTTTTGTTTCGTGGTTTAATTTTGTAGGCGAAGTAAAGATAGTTTTGGTTGAAAAAAAGTTCTGATTAAAATAAGACTTGGAACTCTTGTTCTTTAATATGGATAAAAGATGTCTTCTTTGTCGTTTACTTAATATACATTTTATCAACCATTTGCTTTTCAAATTATATTTAGGTATTTTCTGACGGTAGTGAGACAAGGGGTTTGGTATGTAAATATGAGTTCTCCATATTATAACAGAAGTCTGCAAAAATTATGCATGATACCATAAGTGTCTGTTGAAAAATAGTCAATGTATATGTTTTCTTAATTTAAATAATCCAATTATTGTTTTGTAAACGTTTTTTTTTTTTTTTTTTTTTTTTTTTCCAGCTCTTTTTACAGTATTCAAGTAGATGAGACATGTTATTCCTTTAGTAGGTCAATTTCTTAAGTATCAGGCATCCGTTTGAACCAGGTTTATGAAATATACTTGTTTGCAAGAAGTGTATAGTCTACTCTGAAGAATGCATCTTAAATATTGATAACTCGATATCCATAACGTATAAAATTATGAAGCCATCCGGTGAAGAAGACAGTGAGCTGCTTCCTTCTTTAGTTGTCTGTCTGTTTTTTTTTTTTTTTTTTTTTTTTATCTCGTCTTTGATTTAGTTCTTTTCCGGATTGTTTCCGTTTTAGTCTGACCACTTATAAAAATAGCGATTACGTTCTATACTTCGTGCTGACAAACTGGTTTTGTTTCGTGCATCCATCCTACTTTATCGTGTTACGAGAAGGTAATGTACTTTTAAGAGCAGTTACTTTTTCATAACTGCTATTTTTTTCCGTGTCTCTAATGTAATTTTCCATTTTTGTGAAAAGTTTGGAGTGTTTCTTTCCTTTAGTGTCATTTATTATAAATTTTAATTTATAACTTTGCATTATATAGTCTTAATGGCTAGTAGATGAGTAATTTCATGTTACATTTAATTTAGTTTTAATGCGGTTTTAGAATGACCAGTAATTTCAGCCAGAGTTCTGGCTACTGTTAATTAAGAGGAGCATGAAAGTTCCGATTTAAATTAGTAAATATGGTTAAAAATGGAATATTAGCATTCATTGTTCATTTTATACACGAAAATGTGTAAGATTTATTGTCTGTAATGAAAATTCTGGTATGGTAGTGGTTAAAACTCGCGCATTCTACTTACGTTATTAGAAGTTTATATAGAAAATTGTCAGAGTTGAAATTCTGCGGAGCAGATCGAGAAAAATCAGTGCATGCCATTCAGATAAGTCATTGTTAATTGCTAATGTGAAAATTATCTGCGATTTCTAATCCTGAATACACCAGAAACTGACTGGAAAGCCTAATATTCTGTATGCTGGTCAAAAAAGTTTTAATAAGTGCTTAAGCGCCTTGAGGTTAGAAAAATATTTTTTGAATTATATTTTGATTTTTGAAAATCTTAAAACGATTTTTAACATGAAAGATATTCAAACTTTTATTTTTTTAAGATTGTAACATGCTGAGTAATTATATAGTTTTCTGAAGCTTTTTAGTTATCTGTAATCATGAAATTTTATTTGCCATTGGAGATTATAATATGGAATTGCACGTCATTGATACAGTTATGCTGTGAGTGAGGCATGAGGTAAGGGCACGTCCGGAGTCCGGCCTCGGTAATTCTGTCTTTGAGAAAGATCATAATGCCTACCTGGGTCCGAAATGAGATGAGCTTCTGTATATTTTGTTATTTAACTATTTGTCATTATTAAACTATTTTTATTTTTTAATTTTGCTTTCGTAGCGGCCATCGATAGAGTTCCAGCACTTCTGGTTTTAGATACTAAGCTGTAGTGGGCAAGACAAAGCGCCGCGGGTCTTGCTCCCGTCCTCGGTACTTGCGCTGTTTTTTTAATGTGTGTTCCGGTGCTAAAGTATATAACTTAAATATCCGTCAGTGTTGTGTACATGTAGCAGCGGCGAGTCGGCTCACTAGGTAGAAATGACCGGAATCAAGGTCATGTTAACTTTTCCTACTGCATTTGGCATGGTGTCTTTTGTAGCTACACCTTATTTTATATTGTCTAGACTAGCGGTTCTCAACGGTAGTACGCAAGAGAAAAATAGGCGGTGCGCAAAAGAAACAAAGTATTTTTAACTACTAAATTCAAAAATTAAATACCCCAACATTCTGTAACACTTCCAAATTTATGCGATCTGAGCATTGTTCAAATCAGTTGCAGCTCATGGACTTTAGCAAAATAATCCGTTTTTATTTTCACAAATATTCATTACAAAATTTGTCATAAATGATGTTTTTAAAAAGAAATAGATAAATGGATATTCTATTTAATAGGAAATAAAAATAATTTCCTATAAAAAGCTAACAGTATCTCATTAATTCGTTTAGAGTTGATCAATTTATTAGCATGTTTACACTTTACGTTGACACCATTTCTGGGCTGATATTGTTCAGTTTTCAATTAGAATCATTTTCTTAAGTCGATCTGCTGCCTCGAAGAGCAGGTATTTTGTCTTCTTGTTGCTTTGTATTCCTTACTTTTCGACGCGATTTGAGAATATCATAGTTTGTTTTTGAAGAACTTTTAATATATTGTGGACTTTAATATTTTTGAAAAAATAATAAAACAAGCCCAGATTTTTCAAAGTGGAAAAATGGCTAGGATTGACTAAGCGGAAAAGTGATAATTCACAGGTTATGGATCCAGGATAATCTGCTAGCACGAAGAATATTGAAGAGAAAAGAAAAAATGTTTATAGAAAATTTAACTTATTTATCATTTGGGTTTACTTGGAAAGGAAATGAAACGGACCCTCAACCTCAGTGTGTTGTTTGCGGGGAACTATTAACCAATCAAAGTATGAAACCATCGTTTCTTAAAAGACATCTTGAATCTAAGCATGCCAATTTAAGGAATAAATCTGAAGAAAATTATTGGAGTTCAAATATAGTAAACAAGTAATGAAAGGTTTTGTTACTTCAAGTGAAAAAATTTGGAAGCTAGTTACCTAGTTAGCGTAAGAATTGCCAAGACTGGGCAGACTTATAGTTAAAGATATCGTTTCAACATTATTCAACGAAAAATTGGCTAATGAACTTAGTAATATTTCGTTATTAAATGATACAGTCTATGAATTCATGAAATGGCAAATTCCATAAAAGAGCCACTCATTCAAAAAGATATAACGAACTTTGTTCAATTATTAGTTTACGTATGTTTCGAAGAAGATAAACGAATTGCCAAAGAGTATTTATTTTGTGAATCTCTTAACGATAGAGCAACTGCAATTGAAATTTTCAAAGTAATTGATAATTTTATGTCTGAAATGGAATAAGTGCATTGCCGTTTCCAACGACGGAGCTCGGGCTTTAATAGGAAAACATTCCGATATTATTTCTCAAATAAAAAAATGTCTCTCCTGTAACTAAATTTACTCAATACTGCATTCATCATAAAGCTTTAGTAACCAAAACAATTTCCTCAAAACCTGAAAATCATTTTGAATCAAGCTGTGAAAATTTTTAATTTTATTAAAAGATAAGCATACTTACGATTTTATGCTAAGAGATAGGCAGTGAACATGAAACGCTGTTTTTTCATTCCGAAGTAAGGTGGTTTTCCAGACACAAAGTTTTAAATCGTCTTTTTGAACTTGGGTCAGAAATTCAAATTTTCTTCTGTGATTCAAAATTTGAATTGAAAAAATGTTTATTTAGTGAATTATGGTTAGCATATCTAGCTGAAATTTAGGATTACAAGGACAAAGTGTTGATTTGTTTACCATTAGAGGTAAAATAAATGTAATGATAAAAAAAAAAAAAAAAAAAAACTCGAGCTAATAATCAAAGATTTGGATAATAATATTTTCAGCTTTTTAACATTTTTAGAAAGTTTCTAACCGAAAATAATTTGAAAATAAAAGAAAAATTAGCATCCGACAATAAAAATCATTGTGTTTCATTGATAAAAAATTTCAACATGTATTTTCCCGAGGATTATGAAAAAGAAAATTGGATTAGAAATTCATTTTGTTCAAGCGTACTCGAAATCTTATTTCGTGAAGAAAGAGATCAATTGATAGAAATTTCCTGTGATCGAACTCTAACTGAAGATTTAAAAAATAACAAACTTGTTAACTTTTGGCTGAACCGAAAAAAAGAATAAAGCTATTAAATTTTTATTGCCTTTTTGCACAACCTATTTGTGTGAATAAGGGTTTTCATCCATGTTGTATTTAAAAAATACAAAACTAAAAGTGAATCCTAATTTATGATTAAAACTTAGCGAAATAAGACCAGATATAAAGAAATTGATCTAAAACTCAAATTTCGCACTAAATTTTAGATTTTGATCTCTTAAACATATCCAAATTTTGCACTAAATTTTTGAATTAAAGTATTATAACTTAAATTTTTATAATTAAAATGGTAACCAATTTTTTAATCTAATATTTTATATGTGTGCGTATTTAATACAAATATACAGTAGGATGCACGAATAGCTATATATATATATTAATATTTCTATTGGGAAATTGAAAAATAATCATCATAAAATGTAGTGGTAGTACTAAAGTTTTTCAATTTTTGTTTAGATTGTACGCGTTAGTCAAAAGGTTGAGAACCGCTGGTCTAGACCAATTGCAAAAACGTGATAATTGTACACATATGTGCATCAGCGCTGTAATTTTGTATTGTCTATGGCAAAATATTCAGATTTTATTATCAGGAAACGTGCAACTTTAATTTGAAAATTAAATTTTACTGCGTTCATTTAACACATTTTGAAACGATTGCTTTAGTTTCATGGTAGTTCTGTTCATTAGTCTAAGCTTCGTTGTGGTTGGCGATACCATTGATTTTTTTTTTTTCTTTTCTAAACACATGGTAAGTTTTATTTTAATATTGTACACCAAAAGATGTTGTAGAGTAGGATGAGATTTAGGTGTTTT